ACGTATCTTCCCTTCACTGGTCGGTACATACAGGTATCTTCCCCTTCACTGGTCGGTACATACCCGTATCGTCCTCTTCACTAGTCCGTACATACACGTATCTTCCACTTAACTGGTCGGTACATACATGTATCTTCCCCTTCACTGGTCGGTACATACCCGTATCGTCCCGTTCACTAGTCCGTACATACCTGTTTATCATCCAAAACTGGCTCCCACAGGAGATATCGCTGCAATGAAATTGCATCACAATGCTTTGCAGACCATTGTGACGTCATTGGTAACCATGATGTCACAATCAAATGACATCACTAATGGCTCTGCTACTGAAGCTGTTAGCTGTTCTTTTCACACTTAAGACACTGCTTATTACTGTCTACAAACTGAAAAAGTTGGAAGAATGATGTTGGATGATAAATAAAATCTCACCCTCGTGATAAAAGTGGAAAAGAATCCTTGGCAAGCCTCGGAGTTTTCCCACTTTTATCAACTCGTGTTGATATATTTGATATCAAAAGACACTCTGGTGAGATTCTCTTTATCTTCCCCTTCACTGGTATGTACATATACGTTATTTCCCTTCACTGGTCGGTACATAACCGTATCTTCCCCTTCACTGGTCGGTACATACCCGTATCGTCCCCTTCACTGGTCGGTATATACATGTATCTTCCCTTCAATGGTCGATACAAACACGTATCTTTCCCTTCACTGGTCGGTACATATACGTATCTTCTCCTTCACGGGTCGGTACATACACGTATCTTCCCCTTCACTGGACTGTACATACACGTATCTTCCCCTTCACTAGTCCGTACATACACGTATCTTCTCCTTCACTGGTCTGTACATACATGTATCTTCCCCTTCACTGGTCTGTACATACATGTATCTTCCCTTTCACCGGTGGGTACATACACGTATCTTCCCCTTCACTAGACCGTACATACCTGTAGCTTCCCTTCACTGGTCGATACAAGCACGTATCTTCCCCTTCACTGGTGGGTACATACATTGTACATGTATCTTCCCTTTCACTGGTGGGTACATACACGTATCTTCCCCTTCATTAGTCCGTACATACCTGTATCTTCCCTTCACTGGTCGATACAAGCACGTATCTTCCCCTTCACTGGTGGGTACATACATTGTACATGTATCTTCCCTTTCACTGGTGGGTACATACACGTATCTTCCCCTTCATTAGTCCGTACATGCATGTATCTTCTCTTCACTGGTCGATACAAACACGTATCTTCCCCTTCACTGTAATAACAATTACTGTGAAGTAACACACACTCACCATCTATAAACAGTTATACATTGACAACAGAAAGATACTGATTATCAAAATTTAAGAAAAAACAAGGCACTAATTCATTCCAAGATTTTAAACATTGAAACAATAGGACTGTTTATTTCCTCAAATCAAATTTAGGTATTCAAATATGTTTTTCAAAATTTCATTAACCTTTTTGTTTTGTGGTTGTGGACAAAATAAAAGACGACCTTGAAATTAAACTGTGACGTGAGGCATTGATTTTTCAAAACCGTATTTATGCTCGTAAAAAAAGAGGGCCCTGAACACGAATAACATTTCTGATTGCCTAGGTGAAGAATACCGATAAAAAGTTCTGTCAATACCAACAACTTTATTCAATTGCAATTAGTTCAGATCAACCTTTGACAAATATCTTTTCGCTGAGATCAGAGAGCATGTCTATTGTTAAAAAAAAGTTAAAAAAGATAAAATGCTTTTTCGGTGCTAATTATTTTTTCCCGCATCTTGTAATCGATTAGTTAATTGTAGCACCCTCGATGAGTTGTGTTGCTGTACAGTTCACAATTATGGTGGCAAGTAGTTAAGAATCTATTGAATCAGCTACAATAATTACAACGCTATACTACGCCCGGCGTGGGAAGGCACGCATATGCCGATTCTCGTTTGGAGAAAATATGATTTCACGCAAAATTATTTTATCGACTAAGTTGTTGAAGCCTTGCATATAGGTCAATAGGCACATGGAAAATCACAGACAGTTACAGGAACTGTCTTTCAAACAAACCGCATGACCTTCTGACATCTCAGTTGTATTCAGTTCATTTCGTGTCTAAAATTAACTCAAAAGTAAACCAATTCAAAGGTGCCAGTTGTAATTTGAAACGGCTGCAAATGTGACTGCCTTTTCTGAACGACCTCAAAAGCCGTTGCACGTTTATTAGGAATTTCTTTTTCTCGCCCTATAGGAATGATTTGCTGGAGGCGAGTTTATGAGAAAGATATTATTTCAAATACGTCAATGCTATGTCAGGGTTTCTAATTACTTCAGAGGATGTTATTCCTGCTGCAGTCATTAACAAAGGTTTGTTATGCCTAAATGGTATGTAATTTCTGCTATTTGGCATTGGAAAGTGAGGTTAAAAGCCTACAGCGTTGATTGGAAGTGCTTTTAACATTCTGATAATTATGAATGGTGGGCTTGTAGAACTAAGACTGATAAGTACTTCAGGGATTTCCGTTGTGTGTAGTTGATACACTGCTTTCCTTGTTCCATTGTTCAGCTTGAGCAGTTTTAGGTTCCTTCTGTCGAGAGGTATTGGGTTTGATGGATGTCTTGTAAACATCGTTTCTGCAACTGCATTCCTCTTCCAGAAACTAACTATCTGTGACGCATGTGAATATTTCCCTTGCCTGTGTTTAGCAGGTAAAAGGATGCACAATATATTCTGTGGTATTCTCGCAGCAGTTTCTTCTTCTTTTATTAGCACCACGAAATGAGGCGGAGAATTAGGTTCCGGCACCTTCCGCTGAACATCAATGGGGACGATTCTTTTCGATAATCCTCTATTGATTACAAGAATGACATTATATATATGATTCACATGTAGAAGAAGTTCAAAATCAAACACCTTGACCTCAACTGCCGGGCAAACGAAAGTATACACCCATGTTTGATAGTGGCTAAAAATGAAACAAACAAGAAATGGTTATTCGATTGTGATGTATTTGAAAGTATCATATTTGTGTTTTGGACCATAAGTTTTTCGGCGACAGTTTTCATTCTAGAAACGTTTAATAACGTATGCTCTTTTGGTCAATTCCAGTTTTCAAGTGCAGTGTAATATTTTACATGTTATAGCCCTGTTTGAAATTTGAAAAGCTGTACATGTGTTTAGGTGGTACTCATTTTTTGAAATTATGACAAATATGTATACTGTGTTGTGATACCTGGGTAACATGCTTCATCCATAGCGGTACTGGTAACATATACAGGGCCGTAATTCATCGATGTACCTTCCTCAGGGTGTGCCTTGGTGGTCGGCATGTTGGTTGTGTTTCAGTATTTCCTAACCTTTGCCTTGCTGTAACTTTCATGGTTGAATTAGAGTCTTTCAATCCATTCTGCTTAGGAATCATGGCATCACATTTCTAATCAGAAATGGATACAGTATTGTCGGGAATATTGACGATATATCTTCATGCTTGGTTTGTGTTCAAGCATTATTGCATTTTGGGTTAACTGTTAACGTTGGTGACTGTTCCAGAAACATATTTTTGATCTCATTATCGCGCGCATCTTTGTTTGAAGGTACTTTGCATTGTGATTTCCGTTTCCTCAACCGTTTGGTTCCTTTACATGGACACTGGGAATATTTAAAAATGTGAACAGAAAGGTTCCCTGACAGGTCCCAAAGGGATGAGAAATATTATTTGTTCTAAATATAAAATCAGGAAAAATAATTTTGCGTCAAATTGATCCCTGGAATTCTTGAGGAATTGAGTTATTGGTACAAAACACATGTTTGGCTCCTTTCAAAGATGGAATTGGATATCTTGAAAATCCTATTGATCCTCTCTCCCGAGCTCCTCAATATTAAACTGTCGTTGTGGACATTCTGGACGTAAGTGTAGTTCAGTTTAAACGACTCGGTCCCCACTTGTTGATGGATGTTTGCCAGGTGGTTAGGACCTGAACTGATCTTAACTCTGCGACAAGCATAAGTCGAGGTAGTAGTTTCAGAGCTACAGCAGTCATGGCGGTAAAATTCCTCACGGAACGTTGCTTTTGTACTTGGTAGACTCCGTTAAAGCAGCATTGTGTTGCTGACGGAGATTCAGGGTTGTTTTTGCCAGTGCTAGCCTTGGCCCGTGCTTCAGTAGTGTCGGTCGATGGACCTGTTAGAGGCATTTTTGGTTTGCTTACTAAATACGTAGTATTGAATGGCACAGTGTACTGCAATTTGTTACATCGATTGAATCACGAAGATCTTTCGAATTTTGCACTGAATACATTTCTTTAAGAGTATTTCTTTCTCAATCCTAACGGACAGTGGGGCAGCATAGTGGTTAAAGCGTTCGCTTGTCACGCCGTAGACCCAGGAACGATTCCACTCACGGTACAATGTGTGAAGCCCATTTCCGGTATTGCTGGAATATGGCTAAGCGGCGTAAAAACAAACTCACTCAATTCCAAATTTAAAGAAAGCCCCGTACCATTCAGCTTAGCGAAATGGATATCATGTTAATTAAATATTAAGTTTGATCAATACTTAGATTTAGTTATTTTCGTTGGAATTGTATGACGTCATCCACAATACACATCAGGTCATCATATCAGGACGTCATAGCATCCCAGAGTGACGCCAGGAGTGCTGCGGCAAACCTTGTATTTTACAATGTGGATAAACGTTATGTGTTTTTAGATGTTAACATTTTAATTTTTAAAAGATCCGGCCAACATCGTGGGTCCCAAATCAAATATCCGGGTATCGAATACTTAATAACAAACACAAATCTGAAAACACATTAGGTTTACCCCATTTTATATACCTTTTAGGTATGTTTCTCTCAGTAATAAAGACAACGCCTTTCTTTTTTTTGAATCATGGCTCATTCCATAGGCATTGGTCTTCAACTCCTTTCCCGGTCATACCTTGAGGTAACAAGGCACAAGAAATACGTCCTTCATTTCATAAAAATAGGAAAAATGACACAAACATAACTGACACTCTTTACTAAAATATACACGAACACTTGCTACAGTTAGTAGACATAATAACAATACATATAGTGTGACAAACATTGCCACAGGTCTCTTCATCCTTCTATACACAATGCTTGCAACACGCTTCCTTCTACAACGCATGGATGAGGGAAAGGGCAATGTACCATAGACTCTGCATATAATCAAGCTCAATGATGCATACACCATTTATCTTTATGGTTGAAACGATTTTGAATGTATTGAAGGAATGTCGTCGCTGGGGTTACAGATGGGGTTTTGCAAACTCTATCATTTCCTCTATAATATGAGTTGCGATTATTACTGATGAAACATATGAGCCTCCTCTACGTACAAGCTGTAAATCACTAACCACTCTAACTATGTAATTATTAAAACTCTAACATGAACATTTGAATGAATAGATTCTGTAAAGGTGTATCACATGGTTTGGAACACACAGTTGTATAAACGAGAATATAACAACAACACAACAACATCGGTAGGCAAAGGCTTCTGATACATGTCGAACTTCCGTTATCTCGAAACTTGTTGCCATGACCTGCTTCATCCAAGGGTCACTTCCACCGGAAGTGCCCATCATGAGTTGGTCACGTGGAGTGATGTCACCTTGTATGGGAATTGGTGGTCATTAACACTTGGCATTAGAGTGTGCCAATGGCATTTTCGACCACTTGCTGGTTTAAGAAATATTCTTTATGATAGTCGACCCGAAGATGCAAGTGCCTCGTTACCTAGTTACCTGATAAGTCGTGGCACACTTTGAAAATGTCATGATCCTCGTTTTTACTTGTAAGATATCTCCTGGACACCAAGCGTTGTCGTTGTATGTTTGGATGATTTTGAAGCTTCTGGAGGTCCGGGTTTTTTAAGGCTTTGTTTTTATGCGAATGAGAATATTCCTGAGGATTACATTTACGATAAACACACATATTATATTAATATAGAGGCCATTTTAGGCGTCAATGGTAAGAGAACTAACTGTAGTTGCGGGGATATCGCTTCAAAATATCAGTTTGTTTCTCTGACAGGATGACCACAGCACATTAATCATCAGAACATCCAGCAAACCTATTACGGATCCAAATAAGGATGACAAATTATTTTTTTCCAGGATTTGGCGAACAGATTATTGTTACAGCCGACCTCCACCGTTACCTTCCATAATATCAAACGGTAGGCCCCTAAGGAGGTCTTCGGCATGGTTATTCCGCTATTAACAATTCTACCAACCCCACAGTCAAAGTAAATATTTTGCAAGTCCTTGGTGAATGACGTTGTTTTTGACGAGCGGTTTGTTCCGAAGTTATGTCCCAGTGTAGTACATATCACAGGCAACCTCGAGACGTGCATACATGCGAGATAACGGGAGTCGATTTATCAGATACAGAACACAACAATGCAACCATATCAGCGGTTCCTGTATCAACGTAGAAAGAACGACTAGAGTCAAACAAATAACAACCCGAGTAACAGCAAGTGTTACCAGATTCTGATAATAACAATGATATTTACAATCATAATAATAAAATAATGTTTTCCCTCCCTCCATGAGTAGCGGTACCACATATTATGGTTACATTATTTCGTTACGTGACGAGAAAGGACGGTTATTATTAATTTTGTATCTATTGTTATTTGTTTTTGTCCCTTCAATAGCTGTACTACAAGCCTATATTTATGACAGAACAACTCTGTCATCTGCTCGTGTTCAATTAAGTCTTAACCTCCCTTTTTGGGGGGGTACATGATTCCGGAAGATGCCCATCTACGAATCTCCTCCGAAAGATGGAACCTCAAGCTCCTCATCTCCTTTATAATGAGGGTACGCGTTGACAGGTGGTAGAAGATCTGTACATCGAGTTGTGTCCTCTTTGTTATGCCAGGATCCGCAGAAAGCCAGATTGTCACTGTTTATGATCCTTGGTTCGTTAGTGCCTTAAACGCGTTGTGAGGTTTTACGACGTCATTTAGATCTGACTGTCAGTAATATAAGTCGGCGTTAATCCCACTCACTCAACAATTAACAATGCATATGTATCGTGGTTCTTGTTGCTGTGTCTAAATAAAACCCAGCATTATAACATGAGTCAGCTACGTTAGGGCTAGGCCGCAAGTGCCTAAACCAACACCGTATTCATGAAACAGATTCGTATGAGATAAACGCATGTATCGTACGCTCTACTGCGGCATTGTGACGTACGAACATGGGCATTGTCAGAAAAGACCGAGGGAATCCGAATGTCGAGTCCGATTGTTTTTCTTTGTATGATTGCAACCAGTTTGGAAGTCCATGTTGAACACAGAATGTCATTCTCATTTATACATATATATATATAAACCATGCACAGGTAGATTTTCTAACGACAGTTCCTGAGGATATATACTACCAAGCAGCAGAATATACTTAAAGACAGCTGATATTCACAACTTTGTGTCGCCCATGACCTTGCAGCTGGGTATCTTCCGGAATATGGCGAGGACAACCGAAGTAGATAGTGTGGTGACGTCACTGGATTCTGTGTAGTTGTGGTTTTCAATATGTCCAATGGATTTTTCAGTGTACATACGGGTCCTGTGTGAGGAAGTGACGTCAATGTGCCGTTGACGAGAACAAGATACGTGTGAGCAGCGTCGATGGAACATCCTAAAGCTGTGACGCTGTACATACAGGTTACATAGTCGTTCGTTATCCTGCGGAATAGAAAAACAAACAATATACTAGTACATATAATTTCTGAGCTTGTATGATTTTAAGCCGCTTTTAGCAATATTCCAGCAATATCACGGAGGGGGACGCCAGATATGGGCTTCAAACATTGTACGCATGTGGGGAATAGAACCCAGGTTTTCGGCATGGCGAGCAAACGCTTTAACTTTCTGAATGTCGTACGTACATGTGTGTATGAGAATGCAGGCATTTTATCGTAGGGAGGTCGGGTAGCCTAGTGGTTAAAGCGTTCGCTCATCGCCCCGAAGACGCGAGTTCGATTCCCGACATGGGTACAATGTGTGAAGCCAATTTCTGGTGTCCCCAGCCGTGATATTGCTGGACTATTGCTAAAAGCGGCGTAAAATCAAACTCACTCACTCACTCATTTTATCATAAAATTAATGGTGGATACATACAGCTACTGAAGGGTAAACTATTGCGTCCTATGACGTAATACATGAAATATGAACAGTGGGAGTGATGTAATAGTACATGCCAATGAACTTATCCAAATGGGTTTAATGGATTTCAGTAGCGTCATGGCTTGTCAGCGTATTCTTAGAGGAGCCCAAAGTGACGAAGATGTTTATCACTTTGGTGAAACCCACTATCTCAGGACTGGTGCTGACAAATAAAAATTAAAACAATCGGGTCGCGATCGAACGCTTCATTAGCGGATCCTGTCATGGCTAAGGGGTGACACTATGTACAGCGAATTACTCCATGAGCTTCCCCATCGCCACAATCGAAAACACCTCCGACCATCGACGGGGGTTAATTAACTGAAGCAATATTAAGGTAAAAAAGAAGAAGTAAATTGTCCAGGTTGTCCTTCGTCAACATGTAATCAATACTCAGCATCTTTAAGCCATGATCTGCCCACACGAATAACAACACAAACACTCACTACATTGCAGGTACTAAAAGTATACTTATATTGTGTGAAGCACATACTGGTGTCCCCCGTCGTGACATTGATGGAATAATGGTTAAAGCTGTGTATAATCCACCTCACTACTAAAGGTATAAGATATATCAGCACTGCAATTGCAATGACAGTAAACCTTATTGGTAGGATGAATACCGATTGATAGCAGTAGTGGCTAGGTGGGTTGTATCCCATACAGGAAAGACCTGTTAATCCGGACGGTCCCGTTACTAATTGAATCATCCGTTGATTAGCAGAATTCCGGCTAAAGGGGTCGCTGTTTCTTAATGGACTCATTAATATATCATGTGAAGACTGCAGGGACTGATAATCCAATGGGAAGTCCAGGTTTGAATTGATCCTCAGTCGTAAGAGGCGACTAAATGGATCGGTGGTCAGGACTTGGTTGATTGCGTATTAGTGTTAGCCGACGTTGTTCATAATATCAGTCACTGTATTATCGGGTTCAGACTTCAGGCTCATCATCAGCTCATGGCCTTTGCCCCCTCTACACGCAGCCCAGACAGCGAATGGGACTTCTCCCAGGAAGCGCTGCCTTGTCAAACCCACCCAGAACTTTTCGGAGAATGTGAAGACTCACCAACACTGCAGCCTTCTGCATTACCCAGATTGTCAGAAGGGCTGTATACCTGGTAGCAAACCCGGGTACTCTCCCAATGTCAGTCGACAGATTGGGCCGGGGGGTACTAAACCTAAGGCACCGAGGACAATGGGTAGTCGGACAACTTGGTACTTGGGATGCAAGCGGGACATTTCGAAAGCGAGGTCCGCATATTTGCCATGTTTTTCCTCAATCTTGTCAATCACATTAGTGTCAAATGGGACAGAAAATGCAATGATATAAATGATTTCATTGGATTTATCAAAAAGGACAAGATCAGGTTTGTTGACCTGGATACAATTGAGGCTGTAAATGGGCCTATTCCAAAGAATTTTGTATTTATCATTTTACATGACCCCCTCTGCATATTCCGGGTCGTACCATGGGTGGACCTCTGTATCAAAACCACAAACATGGCGAAGAGGGTAATATAATGATCGAGCTACACCATCATGTCGTTTAAGATTCTGTGTTTGTGCCAAAGTTGGGCATCCAATGACAATGTGTTGGACTGTCTCATTAAATTCTTTACATAATCTACATTTCCTATTTACATTTCATGCAAAATCACACATTGACGGTTTCGAGTGGAAATGACAGGTCCTGAGCAACAGAAAGCCTTCTGTTTCACTTTTCAGGCCAGACGCCTTCATCCAAGCAAAGGACTCTGCAGGATTGCTGATCTTCTCAACACACTGCACATAAACTCGTGAATTGTGATTATGTCCCACATCCTTGGCTCGTTTTAGAAAACAGTGGAATGCCTTGTTTTCATCATGAGTCTTGACATGCTTCACAAGAGGATCATCAGACAAATACATGTGTGCAAAAGTGCACAAAACAATTCTATCATGAAGAGCCCCAACGTTAATCAAACCACGTTATTGGTAAATATAAGCGATTGAGGGAAGAGCGTGGGTGGTGGGATCTATTGTCTGACATAATTCTTCGTGTGAGGGTGTCAGTACCCTGTATTTCTTGTTTCGTCCAATCAACAACACCAAAAGAATATGAAAGGACGGGCACAGCATAAGTATTTGTGGCTTTGACTTTGTTGCGAGCATTCAGCTCTGGACTCAAGATTTTCTACATTTGTACTCTGCCCGAAGTTGTTCCTTGATATGGGCATTCAGGAGATTGTCCCTTATCTGCATTCCTAAGTACGTATAGGCCTGGCCTTCCACGAGATGGTCAATAACTCCTCCTCTAAGTAAACTGACTGATCCTTCCTCTTCTACCTTGCCATGTTTCAGATGAAGAATGTTGCATTCGTCGAGTCCAAAGGACATGCCAATATCATTAGAAAAGGACTCGACAAAGAGAATCTGTTTTTTGAGTGTGGATCCCCCATTGGCAATAACTTCAAGGTCATCCATGTTAAGGATTCGAGTAAGGGGTGTTGGGGATCTGTGCTGAGGAGGTCCAGGATGATAACCTCCCTCTTTGCTAAGCAAAAAGCTTAAAGGATTAATGACAAACAGAAAAGCAAAGTATTGAAAGAATCGCCCTGAAATATTCCTACTCTAATAGAAATGGGTTCCGAAGTCACCACCTGCCCCTGCGAATACATCTCAAGTTGAGTTGACCAGCAATTCATTAAAAGCTTGAGTAAAGCAAGTAGTCGCTCGGGGAGGTCAATACATTCCAGTGACTTCAAAATCCATTCGTGAGGTACAGAATCATAAGCTTTTCTGTAGTCTATCCAACACATTGAGAGGTTACGGTGGTAGGTTTTAGCCTCTTCAAGGATAATTTTCTGAACCAGCAATTGATCCTTTCAACCCCAATATCCCTTTCTGGCTCCTTTCTGCTCCATGTACTGTAGATAATGACATTCGAAGCGCAGTACGATGACAAGAGATCTGTAAGACACCCTGTGAATAGTTTGTACTGTTTGTTCAAACAAGTAATTGGGCGGAAGTTTTTAGGGTCAGTCAGATCACCTTTCTTTGGGAGAAGTATTGTTCGCCCTTTGCAGAACCAAGGCGGAACATCCCCGGCATCAACAAGAGAATTAAAACAGTGAAGTATTATTATTATTATTGTTATTATTATTTTATACCGCAGGTATCGAGGTACTAGTATCTGATCAAATGCGGTTTCAATTGTTTCCCGACCAGTGGATCCGTTTGCATTCCAGTTATCATTCTGATCTCCCTGGGGAGTAAACAACCCAAGCTGCCTACGGGCTCTCCTGGGTTTTAACATCCACCTCACATATCACATACATGTACATATGAACAGTTAATCTGCACAGTTCCAATGCGAATATTAACAGTTATTTTACGCTATTCACGTGTAACATTTCAAACTTGTAATATAATCATGTTATAGAAAAGAATTAGTATAATTTTTTTTTAACATAAAAACTTGACTACAATGAACATCATTACTACAGTCAATTCGGCGTGGGGCACTCTATCAGATGGCGAATTACCAATATGGAAATATTTCAACTGGTCTAATCAAAAATCCTATTGTGAAGAAGAACTCCGTTCGGATCACCATTTACATACCATTGACTACATGTCAGTTTTGGGAAGGAGGAATATGATATGTGGACCTATTGCCCTCTTAAATTGGTTCTGCAATAGCCTCGGCCGATCAAGCTGAAACGGTCACGTCAGGGTAAGGAAAAGCATGTGGTAGAAAAGACTATTTAAGGCTAAAAGCGGGATTAAATGGCGGGACTTTGATCAATGACCATCCTTTGGTGCCCCGTTCACAGCTGGGGTTCAGAAAACATGATATTTAACTTCCGGAGTGTTCCCTAATTTCGATTGAGTTTCCTAAGGACAAGAGTGTCGAGCTCTGTGATTCAGTGAAATGTGAGACCCGACGGGGGCCGGGTCACAATTACGAATCACTGAGGGGAATTACTACTAATTCTTACAAGATCAGGATTCAATTGTATGGATGTATAAAAGGGACACTTTCCTCATAATTGACTAATTAAGGGGCCTTATTGAACATCAAATGGATCAGATAGTGTTATTGTATGCCCATGTTGTGTTCTACTTTACAGTCGACTCAGTCGATCGTTCGCCATGTGTCAACAACAATGTTTTAGCATTTTCAAGTTCAAAGGAAGCTGTCCTGAAACATTCAAAAACTAGTTTACGATTTTCGAGAAAAAGTGAAATGAGATTCCAAGAGGGCAAGATAAGCAAGGCAGTTTTAGATGGGAAATGAGTGAATTAGAGTGAGTGAGTGAGTGAGTGAGTATGACTTTACGCAGCTTTTAGCAATATTTCAGCAATATCACGGCGGGGGACACCAGAAATGGGCGTCACACATTGTACCCATGTCGGGAATCGAACCCGGGTCTTCGGCGTGACGAGCGAATGCTTTAACCACTAGGCTACCCTACCGCCCACAAACTAGAGTGAATATTACGTCAAAGCATGAGGTGACATCACAGTCAACGATCA